CAATATAAGTTTTGGAATAAATAGACATTAGGTGGTTTCACACAACATCCCAGCCTCCGTGAATCTAGCCCAGCTCAGATTCACCAACATCTAGCTTCGCCAGGATGCAGGTCGGTCACTTGAAGACTCCGAACTTCGTTTTCACGTCAGCTGCTCTCACTTGGGAGTCCTTGCCCGGATACACCTTCACCACTCTTCCAGTCAACCACTTGGAACGGTGCACGCTAGCATCGCAGATCAGGACTACATCGTCAACTTTCAATGCTTCGACCGGTTGGTACCACTTCGTTCTGCGGCACAAGTCTGGAAGGTATTCCGCGAGCCACTTCTTCCAAAATCGATGTTGGAGCTGTTGCACCTTTCGCCACTGTTTCCGCGTCGCACGCAGCATTTCTTGGAATGGATTGGGCATCTGGTCAGAATTTGCGGTACCTATAAGGAAGTGGTTGGGAGTAAGGGGTTCATCGGTAGGAGCATCAAGAGGTATATGAGTTAGTGGTCGCGAATTTACAATATTCTCGGCTTCACACATAAGGCTATATAAACTGTGCTCCTGCAGGCTCTCGTTATATAACGCATCTCCCATCGCTCGTTTCACGCTACGTACTAGGCGTTCCCAACAACCACCTGCGTGAGGATTAAGAGGGCAGTTGAATACCCATTCTACGCCTACCTTGGACAGCGCGTCAGCTAATTTCTCTGAGGAAAGGTCGGATAATTGTCGTTTCAATTCTCTATCTGCTCCAACGAAATTTTTCCCGTTGTCTGAACGTATGCGGACCGGAGTGCCTCGCCGGTTCATGAAGTTACGGATGGACATCAAGCACGTATCGGTTGATAGATCTTTGGCCAGCTTGAGGTGTACACGTGTAGTTAGGCATGTGAATAGCGCGATCCAACGTTTCTCGCTACGACGACCCATTGTTACAACGAATGGTCCCATATAATCCAATCCAACATAGGAGAATGGTCTCACAAATGGAGTAACCCGATCCTCTGGTAGTTGCCCCATCATTGCTACCGCCGGCTTTGCGCGATTCTTTCGACAAACCAAGCATCTCCTAGAGACTCGCTTAACCGCTGTCCTAACGCTAGGAATCCAATATCGCCGTCGAATCTCAGCGATTATCGTCTCATCATTTTGGTGGCGCCAGGCACAATGATGAAATTCCACGATAAGATCAGTCACGCGATGTTCCTTAGGAAGTATAATTGGCCGCCGAGTGTATGGAGAAATAGCCGTAGCGTTGTTTAGCCTACCGTTTACCCGTTTGACTCCGGATTCGTCCAAGTACGGCGTCAATTTGAGCAGTGCACTAT